TAATCCTCTTCCGTACTTCTAAGATGTTTTCAAAGTGCTCTAGAAATAAATTGGTATGTATTAAACATAAAGCTACAGGTTACACAAACTGTGAACAGAAGCGTTGAGGGTTTCCAACATTAAGATGCGGATATCATACCTGTTTGCGAACGTATTCCACCATGAGCTCCAGCTGCTGGGGGTCTTCACACTGCCGATTGAACAGGTTCCTCCACAGAGCTGCAGCCAGGACGCAGTCATCAGACAGGATTCCCTACAGAAACACTTCATTCATTAGTGCTGAAACCCAGAGAACTAGGATCCAATTTTCTACTTAGGATACAGAAATCTGCTGCTAAAGTCAGTTTTTCTGACCTCATCGTATCCAAATATGGCGGCGTAGAAGGTTTCAGTCATGGCTTTCATGGCCTCCTTCCTGTGGATGGCATCAATCTGCAGGAGAAACAGAATCCCAGTGAACGCCGACAAAAGTAAACGTGAGCTCTGAGACATGCAGCAAGAAATCCTGTTTTTTGACCAGAGGATGGCGCTGTTACAGTTGGAAAAATAAAACTATGACATTTTAAACTATTTAAGTTGGAAAAACTGTTTATTTTGTTATCAGAAAGTTGGAGTTAACAACTTAGAAATATAAGTTTTGCTGATTTTCTCTGAATATAGAAACATATTTGCACCAAATGAAGATGCTGATAATCTTCAAAAGGTAAACAGTGTTTGTTAAATAGTTCTGAATCAAAGTTAAAGCTGAGATATGTCAACAAGTGTTTCTGTTCTGTTCTGGACTCTTGGGGGTCAAGAAAAAAAGGCAAGAGACGACCGAAGGTTCTGAACAAAGCCCGGTTTGTAGCCGACAAGGTAGGAAGCAGCTGTTCTGGAAACCAACCTGCACAGTGAGATCTAATGAATCAGTCTGCGGCGGCGGCAAGCTGCGGCGGTTTGTTTGGTTTCAGAGAGCTGCATGAATGTGAAGGAAATGATGAAGGCTTTTCCTGCTCTTCATCGCAATTAACATGAAACCTAAGAGTGAGTCCAATCACTGGTTCTGCTTGTACAAATACTGCTGCTTCTGTCGCGTTCAAATGCAAACACAGAGGTTTAGGAAATCCTGAACTTCCCTGAAAGGTCCTTCAGGTGAAGTTCTGCTGCTTGTTCTGATCCAGTCACTGTTAATACATCAGGAAATCTAAACAGAACCCTTCTGAATTAAAACCTAACAGTAAAACAGATTAAAAAGAGATTTCAGGGCTAAATGGACAAAACCTTAAGTTTTCTATTTTAAGTATTAATTCCGATTAGGGCATTATGGCATGGGTGTCACAATACGATATCACAATATTGCAATATT